CCTGCGGCGCCCAACCCGAGGCCCCAGCCCACCATGCCCACGGCCTCCTCGGGAGCTAACGCCTCTCGCCAGCGATGGCGCACCCCAAATCCCCCGCAGACTTGGGGAGCAGGGGCGTGGAGACCTGGGGGTTGTATATGGCAATAGCTTCAGAGGAAGGGAAGTCACGTAAATCCACCAGTGGTGACAGGAGTTGCGTAGAAAGGAAGTAGCAAAAGTGCTCAAACTTCAGAGTGCCCACGGCCTCCTCGGGAGCTAACGCCTCTCGCCAGCGATGGCGCACCCCAAATCCCCCGCAGACTTGGGGAGCAGGGGCGTGGAGACCTGGGGGTTGTATATGGCAATAGCTTCAGAGGAAGGGAAGTCACGTAAATCCACCAGTGGTGACAGGAGTTGCGTAGAAAGGAAGTAGCAAAAGTGCTCAAACTTCAGAGAGAAATCCCAAGGAATCTGCCGCCGCCGAACCCCCACCCCCACCCCCAAAGAGGCTGGGGGGGTCTGAAGGCCTCCAAAGCCAACAGAGGGGGCTCTCCTCCACCCCCTAATGGCCACATTGCCAGGGCCAGGCAGGAGGGTGTTGGTTACACTTTCAAAGACGCAAACGTTTCTCCCCAGAAAAGGGTGGGGTGCTGCCCCTCCTCCACTGGAGGCCAGAGAGCAGCCAATCAGGGAAGATCTGGATGCCGGGTAGCCCAGCCCAGACAGGGAAAAAGAGGGAAGAAAAATGGATATTGAAAAACTGGTACAACTTATAAAGGGTAACTAAGGGTCCTGTTCAGAGCTCAGCAACTCAGCAGGTGTGGTCTAAGAAGGGAACACAGGTAGGAAGAGGGGTAGCAGCTGGTCTCCTGTCAGGAATAGATATAAAAGCCCTCCCTTGCTCTCCAACAAGCTATGCCCCCTCATTGCTGTCAATATCTTGATTCCCACCAGAAAGATACACAAGACACTGGTACCAGTGCTTTTTCCTGGAGAGAAACTGGGAGACAAGGAATGAAAAATAAGAGGAAATTGTATCTATCACTATATACTTTTAAAATACTTTTTTTTTATTTTTTTTACCATATTGGAAATAAAATTTACAATATTATGTAAGCCTTAGCTCTTCCGGGAAGTCTTCCCTGTTAACACTTCCCTTTTGTTAGGTCTTCTTAACACGTACTTTACACTGTAGCACTCACATTTAAATTGCACACCTTTGTTGTTCACTTCAGTCTTTGACATACAAGTGCCCAATAGTTTAGAATGGATTCTACATTCCTTGTTAGCTAGTCTTGCTTTCAACACAGGACTTCACATTGTTTGTTTGTTTGTTTTTCTATGAAAAAGGGATTTTGAGCTCTCTGAAGGCAACAGTAGACATTAAATTATTCTTCATAGCTCTAGCAGAGCAGCACATGGGAACAGGCACTTAATAATTGATGATGAGCTCTAACCGGTTTGGTTCAATAGATAGAGCGTCGGCCTGCGGACTGAAGGGTCCCAGGTTCGATTCCGGTCAAGGGCATGTACCTTAGTTGCGGGCACATACCTAGTCGGGAGTGTGCAGGAGGCAGCTGATTGATGTTTCTCATCGATGTTTGTAACTCTCCCTCTCCCTTCTCTGTAAAAAATCAATAAAATATATTTTTTAAAAAAATAATTGATGATGATGATAATGATGAAGATGAGGCTGAAAAAGTAGAAACTGACAGTAGCTGGAGATGAGATGGGTATGGGTGTTGGGACATGCTGACTTGGCTGTTGGATATGAGGGACCTTCCAGGAAGGGCTAAGCTAGGATATGGCCCAGAGGATGGGGAGGAGGGGACTGTGTGGCCTGTATGGCCTGAAATAGCTCTCGGTAACCTGAGGAATTGGCAGTCAGGACTTGAACTGGAGTCACGTGCCTGGTTCTGGCTCTGAAGTGGAGGTGAACAAGGGGGTTGCCAGCCAGGTTCTTTGGGCAGCTGGAAGGAGGAGGAAGAGCGAGAAGAGTTATTTTTAATATTATTCAGAGCACAGAAAGAGGATTTCCCAGTAGGGAAAAAAGGAATATGATGTAGGTAACACAGATACTTCCAGGGCTCGAGGAGATGCACAGGGTTGGGGAGAAGGAGGCCAGAGGTGGTGGCAAAGCCCTCTCATGTGGACAGTCCTACTGGATTCAACTACTGAATTTATATTTGGGTGAATCTAGGCCAGTGATGGCGAACCTTTTGTGCTCGGTGTGTCAGCATTTTGAAAAACCCTAACTTAACTCTGGTGCCGTGTCACATATAGAAATTTTTTGATATTTGCAACCATAGTAAAACAAAGACTTATATTTTTGATATTTATTTTATATATTTAAATGCCATTTAACAAAGAAAAATCAACCAAAAAAATGAGTTCGCGTGTCACCTCTGACACGCGTGTCATAGGTTCGCCATCACTGGTCTAGGCAAATTCCTGCCTCTCTTTAAGACTGTTTTCATTCTTCTAACAAATGTTGGTTGAAAACTCACCATTGAGTACAGCACTATACCACCTGGTTTGGAGATAGAAACTTAAAAGTAATGGTGTCTATTTTGGTGGAGCTTAAAACTTAGTAGATGAACACATATATACACATGAAACAACTAGTGAATGTAGGATACATGATACTTTTACATGACATTAATATTGAGGGATGGGTTCAATCAGGAGGGTCTTCCTGGAGGAGATGTGTTTTGAGCCAGTATTTGAAGGAAGTTATCAATGCAGAACAATGGGGAAATGGCAAGAAATTGGTTGTTCCAAGTACAGGAAATTAACTAAGAAAAGTTTAAGGGGGTGGAGGGGGCAATGGAGGGATAAGGACACATATGTAATACCTTAATCAATAAAGAAAAAAAAATTAAAACAAAAATAAATAAAAATAAAAAAGAAATTCTACAAGTCACAAAAGAAGATAAACAACCTTAGAGGGAAATGAGCAACAGACTTGAACAAGACTTTCACAAAAGTAAGTATTCAAGTGATCTGTGTACATATGAAAGGATGCTCATCTTCAGTAATAGGAAAATGTAAATTAAAACCACAATAAAATACCATTATTTACCAAAAAAAAAGAAAGAAAGAAAAGTTTAAAAGACAGTAATTAGCTAATCTAGTTAGTAGGGTACAACAAGCAAATTGACTTGGCAGGCCTATTGTACCTTGGGGATTGTGCAGCAAGGTACAATATAACAAGGTACAATATAACATTATGACCTCAATGTTAATGAGGTCACAGTTCAGTCATATATCCCAGTCAATTTCTGTCTTATATTCTCACTTGAAGCAGCTGTCTCACATGTGTAAACCCTTAGTCAGAGGGTGTGGGACTAGACAAGAAAGTGGGGTTGGAAATGTTGTAGGCAGTTAAACCGACATAAGCAGAGCAAGGGCAGTGGGCCAGGTACAGAAGTTCACCATGATGGAAAGCCCCAGGTGCCTAGCAACCGACAATTAGTTGTAGGGTGGGACCTGCACGCTGGGTGACTTTTCCTCCTCTGGCATAAAGCTCGCTGGTCATGCATTTGGACCCCCTGACCTTTCCTTCCTAAAGTTAACATCTGTGCCTCAGTTATATTTCAACTCCTGGCCCAGGTAAGTAACAAACCCAGCTACGGCTGACATCAGGACCAGTTGCACTGAATAATGACCCCTGTCCTGGAGGCAGCCAATCAATCAGTGGAGACCACAGCGCTGAATGGACACACCTGGAAAGCTACTGAATATTCAATTAAGATCTTTCCCTGGGACCTCCCCTAAAATCTCCGCCCTTAAGACCCTCAGGACAGAGGGTCCTCCGTGCTCTTCCTCCCAGGAGTAAGCTCGTGCCTTCGCCTTCCTCCCCTCCCCCAGGCACCATTAGCTTCCTCCAAGG